CCTAGCCCATGCTCGGGCCTCCCTAAATAGTCGTGGGAGGTGGTACGATCACACAATTCGAGAAGGCGGCGGGTGCGAGCCGAAAGAAGAAAAAGGAAAGAAATCACGCATCAATTTGGAGTGCTCAATTTGGGAAGGCGGCAGAGCACGGAGGAGGAAGAAATAAGAAAATATTTTCAAATCTTAAATGATGGTTGCGGGTAGGAGCGAATAGAAGGAAGAGGAAGAGCACGAAGCAATCACGTCATTGCCTTCTTGGTGAGCTCCAAGCGTAATGATGTCACAAGTTCGACACACGAGAGCAGGGAGGAGAGCCATACGAAATCGGGAGAGAGAGGAAGATCGAGAGGGAGGGGAAGTTCTGGTGGCCCTTAAACAACTGTGGGAGGCAGTATCCAACAAGGGAAAAAAAAGGAAGGCAGCAAGAGGGGGAGGGAGGAATAAAAGGGAAGATCGAACCTTAGTGAAGGTAGCAATATAGAAGGAAAGAAATAATCGTGTGAGAAAAAAATGTAACAATTAATTTTTCGAGAACTGGAGAAAATATCAAACGGCTCGCAGGGAGTCTAAAAGAACAATCTGTGATGCTAAAAATTCTGCTTTTAATGATCTTTATAATAGATTAGATACTAAGGAGGGTGAAAAATATATGTATAAACTAGCCAAACAAAGAGAAAAGAAAAGTAAAGATTTAACTCAAGTAAAGTGTATTAAAGATGAAAATCAAAAAGTACTTTTCTTAGAAAAAGATATTCAACATAGGTGGGTGAGTTACTTTGATAAACTTTTTAATGAAGTTTCTGAAAATACGATCGAACTTAGTGATTTTAATATCGTAAATAATAATAAAACGTTTCATTTTTACCGCCGCATTAGCAAAAAAGAAGTTGAGGAGGCTTTAAAGAAAACCAAGGGTGGAAAGTCTGTAGGACCTGATGATATCCCAATTGAAGTGTGGAAATATTTGGGAGATTTGGGAGTTTCTTGGCTTACTAAACTCTTTAATATTATTTTAAAAACTAAAAAGATGCCTGAGGAGTGGAGGAAGAGTATTTTGATACCCATTTTTAAGAATAAAGGGGATGCACAAGAGTGTGCAAATTATAGAGGAATTAAGTTGATGTGTCATACTTTAAAATTATGGGAGAGGGTAATTGAACATAGGTTAAGATGCATCACGAAAATTTCTCATAATCAATTTGGATTTATGCCTGACAGGTCTACTATGGAAGCTATACATTTATTGAGAGGTTTGATGGAGAAGTTCAGAGATAATAAGGAGAATCTACATTTGATTTTTATTGATTTAGAAAAAGCTTACGATAAGGTTCCAAGAGATATCCTTTGGAGAGTCCTCGAGAAGAAAGGTGTTGATATGACTTATAATCAAGTCA